AAACTAAGTTAAGATAAAGAAAGAAAACAACCAATTTTTTATGGTAATCATTAAAAATCTTCATAAACATTAGAATAAAATTATTCTCCGTATGCAAAGCTACAATATTTTGGTTATATTATAAAAAACAATCACTTGATACCCAATGGATAAAAAATTATATTTTATTGATTTTTTTTTATAGATTTTTATTAGGGTAAACCTAATAACAAATTATAAAAAAAATATAAATATATGTAATTTTAAACTTGTAACACAAATTATAAAATTAAAATTTATTACATTAAATTAATTAAATATCTGAATAAATTATCTGTTGCTTCATAGACTAAAAATTACATTTATATTCTGCTTATTATATGAATATATCAATTAGATTGGTTTTAGACCAGATCTTAGCGAATTCGAAGTGTTGCACGCATAACTGAGAAAATGGTTTTAAAGCTTAAATTTAAAAACAAATGTTTATTGACTTGGATGTAAGTCATTTATAGCTCTTTTCAAACTAATACGAATGTGCAGTAAATCATCTCATTTACATAATTTATTGGAAAATAGGTTACTGAAAATTAACGCAGAAGACGCTTCAAGAAAATATCTGTCACTTGTCTTTCTGTCAAACTTCTTAATACTTAAACAAATGTGTTAAGGTACATAAGTATATTTTCTAATAAATGTCCAGAAAAATGTGGCGAGTAATTCATTTTGTTTCCATTCAAAAACCACGATATGGATAGACATAAAACAAATATTTATTTTTTTCCACAATCCGTCCACTAAAAGATAATATGTTACTTTATTTCTATTTTCTGTATTCACTCAGGGTTTATGTATCTCGAATAGTCACGTTTCCGTCCCAACGAAGGGTAGAGCATACAAATAAGTGAAAGTCCAAGACCGGCCAAACACCCGACGCCATGTACTTTATCTACGGATCTCTTAAAAGAATTTGATCGTATAAGAGAATATTACAAACAACATCTGTGACAAGGGACGTATAAACTTAAACATTTGTATACGGGGACCGCGTTTATCACGAAGAAATGAAAAAAAGATAATATTATTATATGGTCAAGAATGATTTATGTTTTGTTTTGTTTATTAAAGCACGGTTTACAAATAAAAGATGATGAAGTATTTAAATATATCAATATAATATATAAAAAAAAAGAACTAAAGGCAAGCACATACTATCACGGGTGAACAAATCATATAATTATAAATGTTACCAGACTGGAAAAATCTTCATCCATTCCATTCTAGTATAATATTAACATCCATAACCATAAAAATCCATTAACGTCCCGTTAATAGATATGGAATTCTCCTCATTAGAAGATACTAACTTATTACTATCATATTGGCCAAACAGCTTAGCATAAAGTTATTTCCAGTTTTATTTTTCTAGCAATGGTTTATCGCTTCGTTCCCTTAATTATCTAGAAATGAAAAGATGTGGTACCACAATGTAATTCTACTCCGTTACAGCAAAAAATATATAGAATACGTATGATCTTGTACCTATTATTGTTATTGGTGCATAAAATAATAATAAACTTTAACATATATGAAGAATTCCCATGTTAGGTATTAATAAATACTATCATTATTTTGAGACATTTCGGATAGCAAACACGCGAGAACGATATATTGTTTGTCAGCAACATATCGTTGGTGTTATAACGAGGTCTCTGTGTAGCCGCAATCAATCTGTCGGTACAACGGCTGTCAATTTGTGGCGGTAGGGTGCCGCCGCCCGCCGCCGCTGCGGTTCGGATAGCGGCGCGCCGCGCGCCGGTCCTCGGACCGTCCGCCATCCTAGCCCTTCGCGTCTGATGACTTCCGAATGACCGCCTCTCATTTGCATAAGGGCCAGCCTTAATATGAGATTATTCTCGAGTTAGGAGCGTCCGGCGAAGCGGTCGTCCTATTCATTATTAGTTTTGGAATATTTAGTCGACCCAATCCCAGCCGCAATTATTAGAATTGCTACTCGCATCGACGCGCAACTAGACAAATTACGACTAAACCAATTAATCAGTTCAATACGAAAATCTAGTTGCAACAATGAATTTATTATACTTTATAATTATTAAATTTCTGATAACATATTGTATTATAATAGAGTATCTATCTATCTATCTATCTATAATTACCTTTGATACTTTAAGGAAAACTTTGTCATTATAAAACTTTTGTTTTATTTAAATCTTAAATTAAGATACTAAAGATTTGACGTCATATTCTTATAAAGCAAAGTATTTCATAAGTTAACTTTTTCATTTAAGCAAGACAAATTAAATAGCTGAACTTGAAAACTGTTATATGTTTTATTGGAATTAGTTAAGCATGAGACAGCAAATATTTTTTTTGTATGAAATGGCAATTGGATACAAACTTAATTATAAAAAATCACCTAGATAGTGTTACTAACATACAAACAAATTATTTGTGTATTATATTAACTTCGACTACCTCGCGAACGAACGGACATAACTATTGTAATATAAAGATCTTCCCTTCTTGAGTAAATTCCTTAAATTGGCTTCTCAACATTGTAAAGCACAATAGTCACATGGTAGAGTTGCCTTTCTATTGGTTACAAAGGGATTACCCGTTCCACACACCAATGTTTGCGGTTTCTTAATTAACCCCTAAATACCCTTGCATACGCCACATCACCTTATGCGGCATGTAAGATTATTGCCAACGTTACCCTTGTTAATTTTAATGTATGGTATTATTGAAATAAATAGAACTTCTCCGCAACACGTGCTTCGTATTAACTTGATATCTACACCTGTACAATGCGTATATACATTGGCGAGAAGTGGGTACATTTAAATTCGAGTCAATGTTGGATTAGCAATTCTATTATCAAAAGTTTCGTAGGTAAAGTTATATTTTAATTGTAATAATAACCGAATTGAATTACGTCTATTTATGTGCACATATTATTATAATTGAAATATCTAAATTAAAATATCGAGCCGCGTAGTTAGTTTTCAACAGGTAACGTTGAGATTATTTAATATAAATCAGAGTCAACACTTTTGATTAAATAATACAGTCATCGGTTGAGAAACGCATACACAGCTAATAGGGTGCGTTATGGATCGTAATGTGCGATTTACATGGGTTGAGTTGGAAGCAGCCGAGTAGAAAATGGAGCATCGTGCTTACTAATACGATCAGGTGAGCAAATACGTAACGCTTTCATCTTCAGCCGGGTATATCTTATTGACAGTCTCCAACAAACACAAATATATAAATCTGAATGCTAAGTTTTGAATAACCATAATTAATATTATTACTTGTTATTATACTAACATCGTATAATACGATGAGACTCATCTACTTGTAATTTTTTACTTACTTTAATGGTGTAACACAACGGAGAACCAGGAAAGGATGAAACGACAAGAATGACGTCAACTCAAATGACCTATTGTGTTGAATTTATTTTGATTTAACTAAAATAGTTCCCATAGAGGCAGCGTGGAGATTAACTTGATTAGACATACAATTAGAAATGGAGGTTAGCGCTCTCATTACTAACAATTCTTCTATCCGGACTAATGATGTTAAATAGTTATTATAAATTCATGAAGATGATTAGAAGTTAAATACATAAAATTATTAATACTTAGTTAAAAGAATAAAAAAAATAAAGTTTTTGAAGTTGTAAAAAAAACTTTAATGTTACTTCTATTTTGTATGGTTCGCTATGGAAAATTTATTCTTTATGAATACGAAATCCATTGTCCAAAAAGGGGATAAATAAATCTATTGTTGTCAGTTTGAGCGAGATTGTGATACGTAAACAAGTTTGCAGCAGGCAACTGTGGACCAAGTTTATTCAACAAACAACGATGCGAAGCACATGCACGCTGTGCAACAGAACCGACACGTCGCGCGACGCTTCGCCGCCGCTCCGTCCAACATGAGACACAGATATACTTTTCTGACCCATCCTGTGTGTTCACTGAATGAAATTTTTTTATTTACAACTTACATATACGTAAAACTCACTCTCAATCTTCATAAAAATAAGCGATACATGATTTAGTCATGTTACATTACGGGTACATAAAAATAAGAACTTAAGAGAAAAACAAAGAGCGCCAATTTGGCAAGTCGTAGACAAACGCATTTAAAATGGGCAGAGTAGAGCAGCAGCCATCTATCTTGGAGCTTGATAAACGACGACATTATTCCTTATCGCCCACTCAATTTGTTTAAAAGCGTTCTGCTTTGATAATTTGAAAATTACAAATCGTATTTTGACACAAAAATGTCCTCATAACTGCAAAGTCTTGGCAGATCGTTGATAAGATAATTCGAGGGGATCTTTCTAATTTTTCTCAGTTTATATATATTATTTGAATATGACATTTGAATCACTTATTAATAAATAATGCTTGTGGTAATAAAAAGTATTACAGTTTATGTAACTGCTAAAGTTAATATATACGTATAAGTGCCTTCTTAAAAAAACCCTAGACTTTTATTACTATTATGTCCACTGCTCTATCTCATAAGGAGGGTTTTGCTAATAGTTGCCATGCTTAGCAGGCGAATTGGCAACCTCAGTTAGGCTTTGGAAATGTTTAAGAGGGACGCTGCCCATCCCTCGCCCAATAAGTTTCCTTAGTCGTCTCTTTCGACATCCACGGAGCAGGAAGGGACGGTCCATTCTATGCCTGGATCACACGGCGGTATGAGTAACAAGCATATTATATTACTAGTATGATTTTATATTAAAATAAAAAAGTACTTTTATAGTCTTCTAAATTTTGTCTTCAATAAGGTGGTTTTCATTCTTAATATTTCTACCTACGTCGTTACATGTGTCGGGAATGATCAATCATTCTCTTCATCTACCTATGTTGACATTAATATAATAATAACTGAAATGTAATATACAATGTTTTCTATTATTATCTATTATATTGTTACTGTTATTGATAAGCTAATATAATTGTATTGTTTTGTTTTAGTTGTGGAAGAGCCCGAATTCACTGACGTTATACAGAATGTGACAGTACCAGCGGGTCGCAGCGTTCGCCTCGCCTGTTCTGTCAAGAATCTTGGTTCTTATAAGGTAAGTAAATAATAAAAACTATTTACAAATTATACTTAACTAAGTCGTCACTGACATAGCTCGAGGGTCGAGCAAGTAGATGTAACAATGGGCTGGTCAATTAACTCGAAGAATAGACAACCGCGAACGGACAAACGCAATGTAGGACGATCCCCCACTTGATAAAGTGACGACCTCAAATGTATTACAGGGAGTCAGTGGATGCAGGTGGCTCAAGACCGTTCCTTGTGGCAGTCTATAGGGGAGGACTAAGTTCAGCAAGATGCGGACGGACGGATAATAGCTGAGATGATGATGAAGTAAGTCGGGCCTTTAGTAGACATAATATTATTGTGACGTTTATTAAAGAGACTGTGATAATGATAAGAATATCCTGTATCTGTAATCATTCTTTGTCACAGCCAATGTAAAGAAATAGAACATATAAACAAAGGACCTATATATATATATAGTTTCTTACTGATACATCTAAGTATAAAACATTGATTTTTATATTTGTACTTACGTGAAGATTATGAATTATTATATTAATTTATGAAATAGGTGAATAAAGGCCTGTGGTATATTTGGAAATGAAAACTAAAGAATCAAATTTAACTAGATTAATCAAATAAATTATTGATCGATTGATTTTTATGAGCTAATTTTAATCTGAGGAACACATATATCCTTATTGATCTAATACAAACACCATTATTTTAGTCAATAATTTTCTCATATAAAAATAATGTTTTGTAAAAAAAATTGCCAAGGTTTTTATCTTTAAGAGGTAGACTAGAATCAACATTCCACAAGCATACGACATAGGTAGCAGACACCAGTGTACACGTATATATAGTGAAAGGAACGACAATATGCGTGGAGCAGCGAAAGGAAACATAAAATAAGAAGCATTTTATCATTTGATTTAGAACGCGCCGTCGTAATAAAGTGTCCATATAAATGGAGAAGGATATGATTTACAACCCCTACGCCGAGTCTGTACCTCTCTCGCATAACTGAGGTGGTTTAAAATGTCTTTACAATAATGTACTAGCTATAATTAAATCTTATCGACTCACAAAGTCTAGACTGTATCAATAAAAATACGTAATAGATTAGAATATTCAATATTTTCCATGATTTTATGACATTAGGCATTTCACGCCATCTTTATTAAATAAATAGTGTCTATATATCCCTACATATATGCACATTTAATTATCGCAAAAAAATATCTATTGATCCTAGAAAATAAACAATTATATATAAATAAATATTTTATCTAATAGAAGTCTGTCTACAGGCTGATAAAATGGTAAAGGGATTTCAATGAAACTTTGTAGTTGATTCTTCTGATATCGTAAAATTCAGAATATGTTTAATTATAATTAATTAAGCGAATCATGTGATTTTGAGATATAATTGACCATTCTAAGAAGTCTTATACCTGTAAAGATGTTTTATTAGTTATAACTATGAAAAAAAAATCTTCTCAATGAGAACTAGAATAATGTTTTTATGAATACAAATAATTCCACTAACACACTGAAGAAATCGCAGATACAACTAGTATGAAATACATTTACGAGTACATGCATTTAAACTATTTTAAATGTAATGAAACATATAGATAAATATTATCTAAATAGCATTGCATTCGCTATAAAGTTTCTCAAACTTCGGTGGTTGCAATTAGGTTTGGATTTATCTATAACGGAAGTGACGGATGTAGAGTGCAGCTGTCGCCAGTACCGAGCGTCTAACTCGGTACCTAGTGTTGGTATCGGCATGTACTAGAAACGACGACCGGTCGATCCGTGTGAGCCAAGAGCCGGATAACCGATAAGCCGCAAGGTGCCGCCGTTGCCTAACTGCCCGACCGCATACTCCCACGGGGGGCTCTGCTTCATTTGGGTTCCTCTCCCCAGCGTCCACCGCTCCGAAACGCAGATTAGAATTAACTTATCGTTAAAATGTATGTGGCTATTGGATTTACTTTGATTTTACGTTTCTGTTTCTTGGTAAGTTATATATATTTGCTCTTTGCCATAATCTTCTGTACACTATCATCAATTCACATAACTATATTCCGATTTCAAGATTAAGATAATATAATAACATTGGTTTGGCAATATGTGAGTGAAACCCCCAAACATCCATAGGTCGAGACTACTGCTTACCAGCAGATAGACTGTATACCTGCTTGCTAATCTTGCCACCTTAGGGAGGGAAATTATGTATCCCGGAATATGCCTCTTTGACTATCGAAAGTTGTTAATTTTCTTGTTAAAAGATTTTGTTGTTTATTTTGTTTAATTACTGGACTAATCAATAAAATTCAATTATTTGGACTTCTAAATATTTATTTTTCATTATAGGCATGTAACTGAAGCATTTAATCGCTTGTCTACGGTGTCACAGCTCCTAAACAGAGAAACTAATTTCAACGCATTTTATATATTTATATGAATACCAAATCTCCTCACGTTGATATTTTGCGAAGTACACTTGACTACGTTTGGGATCATTCAGGACTCTCAACGCAATCCTTATGCAATATTTTATTTTAAAAACCTCTTTTAATTAAGACATTTTATAGCTTCTTTTGTTATTAATACTCGTGCATCAGTTTATGAAAATGTAAAGTACGAAAATTAATTATAATTCATAACTAAATAGGCACAACCATTTTAAAGATTGGTTACTTATTTCAAAGTAAAATATAATTTTACGCTTGGAATGTTATTCTTAGATTGAAAAACTATTTAGTTAAAATTTTAATATATTTCCCATTATAATATATTGACGAACAAAATGTAGTAAAGTTATATAAGTTAAAATGACATAATACCGTCAAATTTATTGAAGGTACTGAGAATAAAAGTGTAGATCTGCGTTCGTAGCTATCGATTGATATCTGATCAAGTTTTTCTCTTTATTTTATTGCATTTACTTACGTCTGTGGCTGTCTGCGGTGCGAGCGCAATAAAAGCCAAGATAGTGTTCTTCTGAAATAAAGGCTTAACTGGGGGAGCCATCACGGTTGCCCCGTATTGACAACAAGAAGCGGATTTTCCCGAAAGCCCCGCCTGTGCCATTAGTTTCTCGCATCAGTTAAAAAGATTTGCCTCTTCGTCCGTATTTTTTTGAATTATTGACTTATGAGAAATATTGCGGTGAAAGAAAAAAATATTCTTTTTATTTTATTCTGTATTGCGAATCATAAGATTGTAGAAAAATACTAACAATTTTCTTTAATTTAGTATGAGATATTTTTGCTATAGATAGATATTTGATTATTATATTGATTATGATAGATATTTATAGGATTGTGACAAAATTTTAAATTAGATAATTAGGTAACTAAACCATTACTTAGGTGACCTATTTCTGTTTTAGAAAACCAAATACGTAACATTGAAAATATTCCATGTCCATTTTTAGTCATGTTACTTATGATACTTAAGTATGTAATGGAACATTATATCACAATACAAATAGATTGTTTAGGTATTTTATACAAATGCTGGAAAATATGCGCAGCGCACGTAGGTTCATCGGCATGAAATGTCAGATAGTCGGCGGTAGCACGTATGTGGGTTTGCAATAACATGCCACAATGAGTCGCAGCAATGCTACACTCGCGGCACATGCGAGCGCCGGCTGTTCAAATTCTGGCGTATTTCTAGAGCCTTTAGGGCAGTATTACACTATCAGACATAAACATAAAAACTAACAAAAACATACGAGGAATTATACAAACAATATCATCATCATCATCATATCAGACTTTAACTGTCCACTGCTGCACATAAGCCTTCCTCTTGGAGGGGGTTTTGCGAATAGTTGCCACACTTGGCAGGCAGATTGACAACCGCAATCAGGCTTTAGAAATGTTTTAAGACGGACGTTGCAACTCATCTCTTGCCCTCGTTTAGGCGAAGAACAATATAAGGCTTAATAATACTTTACGCTCTTGAGAAATTAAGATTCATCTTGTATTTTTCTAGATAAGTTCACGATTTTTGTACCCACCTTTAGTACATCCAAGTTTGCGATATATAATGTACAACTGTTTGCATCCGTAGTTTACGGTAGTAAAAAAAACATTGTTATTAATGATTCTTAATCAGATATAACATTCATGTTATTCGTATACTCTTAGTACTGTGAGACCCGTAACTTTTGTATGAACGAAGTATTGATTGATCATGATAAAAGATCCTATGTTGTTTCTATCTCAAATATATTTTACAATTCATCATATACGCAGCTCTAAATGTCATAGCGATTAGTTGAGCAGTTAGGGTGTCAAGTGATAATAAAGAAAACTGCTTTCGCAAACATTAATTATGACTCTGTTCCACAAAAGAGAACTGACTTAAATTATGGCAAAACCAGTTAATTTGATTTCATAACTAAACTAGTGAACTAATTTTGATAAAATTTCTATGGGTTAAGTCTGTAAGTATATTCTTCCAGATAAAAAAATCCAAATCGATTTATAACAAATGGAGTTATGAGGTAAGAAACAAAAAATACAAGCAAATTGAGAACCTCCTCATTTTTGAAGTCGGTTGAATACTAAAATATTTAATGTTAATAAGATAACATGTCACGTTCAAGTATTATAAATACAAGTAATAAAATATATTTTAATGGATATTTTATTATCAGTTTCAATGATAGCAATTATTTTTAGAACTGTCGTATGCGCTCGCTCTAATACTGCTTAATATGAACAAACAGCGTAAGATTAGGGGACGACACGCTTTTGTCGCAATTCCGCAAATAATGCCTCCCCCTCTTTATTGTTGTCTTTGGAATGATCGAAATTATTGAGAATACATTTGCCTTTTAATTAAAAACATGCAAGTATGTAAACAAGTATGTAGTTACGGTATGCTTATAACATAGAAGATGGTGTCTAATCTTCATTATGACATTAATGAGCTAAATAGGTACTGTTTAATAAAATACTTATAGACACAGACAAATAAAACCTGAGTGGCATTTGA